AAAAAAAAAACTAACCAGGCATGGTGACACGCACCTGTAGTCCTGCTACCTGAGAGGCTGAGATGGGAGGATCACCTGAGCCTGAGAGGTGGAGGCTGTGGTGAGCTGTGATTGTGCCCTTGCACTCCAGCCTGGGCAAGAGTGAGACTGTCTTAAAAAAGAAAAAAAAAAGATATGGAAGAATCATATATGCATAGTAAATGAAAGAAGCCAGTCTGAAAAAATTACTTACTGTATGATCCAATATGTGATATTTTGGCAAAGGCAAAACTGAAAAGAAAGATCAGTGATTGTCAGGGTTGCAGGGGGAGGGGTGAATAAGGGGAACCCAGAGGATTTTTAGGGCAGTGAAATTGTTCTGGACGATACTGTAAGGGTGGATACATGTTATTATGCATTTGGCAAAATCCACAGAATGTATAAGAGAAAGAATGAAGCCTAATGTAAACTACACTTTAGCTAATAACAATGTAATGTTGGTTTATCAAATGTACCAACCTAATAAAAGATGTTCACAGCTGGAAAAACTGGGAGTGGGGTGTGAGTGTGGAGTATATGGGAATGCTGGAGTTTCTCCTGAAACGTTTTCCTGAAAACCTAAAACTGTTTTTTTAAAAGTCTATTAAAAAAAAAAAAAAAAAACCCATACAGCATATTAAACAATTTATTAGAGGTAGAATATCAATAATCCAGATGAAAGTCTACAATCATGTCATAACATCATCTAACTCCCTCGATATTTAAAGTCTCAAAAAATTCAGGTATGGGTACTAAGCAGACAGCAGAAACCCAACATTCAAAACAATCACAGCAAAAAGTCATTCCATACAAAAAGACAAAAGAACTCTAAACCAGGAGGCTCACCATGTCTCACCCAAAGTTATGAAGCAGAAGTTTAGCTAATGCCTGAAAGGCGTCCTTTATCTTGATGTTTTTCATTTCAACAAGAAATTCTGAAAACGTCTCAACATCTCTGAGTGGTGAAAGAAGGTATCATCTTCTCTAGCTAGGAAAACGGACAGAGCCGTGTCTAAATGTTTGAGTGGTGTCCGAAGCAGAAAGGGAGCTGTTGTCTTTCAGGGGCCGCCGTGCCTGCCGTTAGGAAATATGCCATTTGACTTGCAAACTGGTTATGGTAGTTGCTGATGAAGAAGAGGAGGAGCCCTGATGTCATTCCTTTTTCACACAGTCTGTCTTCCTGCCCATAACCACACTTTAATCACCACGGGCAATAACCGCGCTTAAATTTTGCATTGTAAAACAGGGATGCAGCAGAAATGGAAAAAGTATCATCACTCATAAAATTTGGAAAATGCAACATGAGACTTCTGTGTTTGAGAGAGAGAGAGAGAATTAACACACACAAACCAGGAAGGAAAAAGAAACACAAGCATCTGCTTTTCATCAGCGAACACAGGCAAAGCAAGGGGCGGCAGAGGCTGTGTCACTGAAGTATCCCAGGACTTAAACATTCCTACATCCGGACTCCTTGGTCAACCAAAGCAAGCCTCTCTGAAAAACTTTTGAAAAATACGCATTGAAAAAATGTCCATGAAATCCACATCATTATAAGCTTCTAAACAGTTTCAGGATTTTGGTTGTTTTTAACGACAGTTCCAACATCATCTAAGGAATATTCTTGTGTAAATCTTCCACTTCCAGTTCCCACATACTTTCATGAATGGGATTATCAGAAAGGTCTGTCATCTTCACAGCCTGTAGGCAGGGCTCAGGGCTGCAGGCCTGAACCATTCCCATCACCATCACATACTTTCCTAGAAAAAGAAGAAAAGCCCATAGTAATGTTCTTTTTTTTCTTTTGAGACAGAGTCTTGCTCTGTCGCCCAGGCTGGAGTGCAATGGTACAATCTCGGCTCATTGCAACCTCCGCCTCCTGAGTTTAAGTGATTCTTATGCCTCAGCCTCCTGAGTAGCTGGGATTACAAGTGCCTGGCCCCACACCTAGCTAACTTTTTTATTTTTAGTAGAGACAGGGTTTCACCTGTTGGCCAGGCTGGTCTTGAACTCCTGACCTCAGGTGATCCACCCACCTTGGTTTCCCAAAGTGCTGGGATTAATAGGCATGAGCCACCGAACCCAGCCATCTTCTTTGGTTTCTGATTTTACCAGGCCAAACAAAACTGTCATGTAAAATGTAATCATGCCCAAAGAATGGAGGCGACGCTCCCGTCAGAGTGAGTTATAATTAGCCTGCTCTGAGGTAGGAGCAGAAAACCTTAGCTTTCCTCTAATCCCGTTCCTTGCTCAATGCTACAGGGTATGTGACTGGTTTCTGTGCACAGGTCACATCCTCTTTCTGCAGACACCCTCTGACCAAGCAAATCCAATTTTCCCTCCACGTTGCCGAAAAGGCTGGGCAGGCAGCCCCCCGCCCCATTGTTCCAACTGCTGGAACCTATCCCTGCCACCTCCTCCAGCACATACAAGCAAATCCACACAAGGGCCGGCTGCCACCGGGATGATCTAATGACATATTAACTGTGACTCTCTTCCCATTCCCTTGGGGAAGTGACTCTCCTTGAAAGCAAAACTTGGCCAGTCTCAACCACACAAAACCCGACTGTGTAAAAGAAAACTCCAAACACTGCAGGAAAGACAGGCCCGGTGCCAGCCCCGCTGCCTGCCCCTGTGAGGCCGCTTTCTGTACGTGGGGCCTGGGGCTTTGACTGAAGGAAGCCAGGCAAGCTGACCCCTGATTCCGCTGTTCAACCCCAGGCAGGATGTGCTCAGGTATCTCAGAACTCCTCCCCACATTCCACCTGGGTCCGTCCGTGACAGAGACTGGTTCTGAAAATGCACTTGCCATTCCCCTCTGAAAGGGCCTAAAGCGCTGGTAGGGTTGGAACCCATAGAAGTAGAATGACTAAACGCCCAGGAAAAGAAGAACAAGCCCGAGGGCATTCCAACCAGGAGAGGGGAACAGGAGCTCTACTAGGAAGGCACACACAGCCAGCCAGATGAGCTCAAAGGCATGCGATGAGACAAATTGGCCCTGTAGGTTCTACCCACACCCTCTCCCACTCCAAAGCAGCTCTCCATTGTCTCTCCCTCTCCTTCCCGCATCCCCACGCCGCAGTTGCCATGACCATTCCAATGGCTCTGGCACATCTCCTGCCAGCTTCCTCCTCTTCGAAACCATCCCCCCGCTCAATGCTGCAGTCAACATTCTTGAATCCACCTCCTGCCTCCAGAACTCAGTTGATCCAAGCACTATCTAGGTAAGCATGGTTTCTCCGATTCTCCTGCAGACAGACAGACAGCAGCCTGAGGGCAGGAAGAGCTTCTCATTCAACTCGCCTCTTCAGCACCTTAGGTTTATGGAAATAAACTGGATGTCCAGAGGAAGAGGTGGTAGGGGAACAGCACTAGAGCAGCAGTGAGGTGAGCAGAGTTCAAGGCCATCTTGAAGCAGGCATGTCCTTCCAGACAGCCACTGAGGCTCTATCCTACCTTCCACCGCTGCCTCAGGCTCCCCAAAAGCACGGGGCTCTATCCCCTCCAAGCCTTTGCACAGGCTGTTCCATGGAGCTGCACAATCTCCCGCCACTGCACACTGACAGAGGGTGCCCAACTGTCTCAGTTTTAACACTGCAAGTCCCACATCCCAGGACCCTCTCAGTCCCAGGCAACCCAGGAGGGTTGGTCCTTATAGATAACTCCAATGCATCCTTCAGGGCTGCCTCTTCAAGCGTTCCCTGAGCCCTTAAGCCTGGATCAGCTGTCCCTCCTCTGCGCCACCTCACTCTTGCCTGCAATGTTACTTTGTGTTTTAGTGGCTCGATTACCTCCCTGCCTCCCTGCCTAATGGCAGTGACTCAACTTTGTCAAGCTGGACTCGGTATTAATTAACAAGAGGAAGTGACAGGGCCCCTGCCAGCTGGCATTCAGGCCAGTGGGTATGTCAGACAGGTTCACCAATGCCCATTGGTTCAAACACTGAAGTATTTACTAGATGCCAGGCTTATGCCAGGGCTGAGACCAGACAGGAGACTGCCCCAGCCTGCCTGCAAGGGGCTTCGCCTGCAAACCAACACACCAAGCAGCATGGGTTACATGCTGGGCCAAGGCTAAGGCCAAGGGTTGGCAAACTTTTTCTGTAAAGGGCCAGATAGTAAATATTTTGGGCTTTTCCCGCCACAGGGTCTCTGTCCCAAATACGCAACTCTAGCTGTAGTGGGACAGAGGCCCAAGACATTCTGTAAATTACCAATGTATTCCAATAAAACTTTACTTATGAACACTGATGCTTGAATTTAATATACTTTTCACACGTCATGATTTTTTTTTTCAACCATTTAAAAATGTAAAATTCCACCATGCGCAGTGGCTCATGCCGGTAGTCCCAGCACTTTGGGAGGCCAGGAGCTCGAGACCAACCAGTCTGGCCAACATGGCGAAACCCCATCTCTACTAGAACTACAACAATTAGCCGGGTGTGCTGGTGCACGCCTGTAATCCCATCTACTCGGGAGGCTGAGGCACAAGAATTGCTTGAACCCAGGAGGTACAGGTTGCAGTGAGCCGTGATTGCATCACTGCACTCCAGCCAGAGAGACAGAGTGAGACTCTGTCTCAAAAACAATAATAGTAATAAATAAAACATTTAACAGCATTTTTAGTTCGCAAGACATGTGAAAAGAGGAGGCCTGTAGTTTGCTGACCCTGTCCTAGACCAACGCTGGGGCTGAGGGCAGGAAGAGAGGGAAAGCTGAAGGGTAAGGCGGTCGGGGGAGGGAACAGGAGCATGTGGCAGTAAACAGGTCCCAATGTTTTGCACCTTCACTATGAGCCAAGTGCAGTGTTAAGGCAGTTGTTTACTTACTGAATCCACACAACAGGGAGGAATGATTCACTCCCTTTTACAAAATAGTACAAGTCCAGAAAAGTTAACAGAAGTGCTCCAGGCAGCTCAGCTGGGAAGCGGTGGAGCCAGAAATTCGACCTAAGCCTGTCTCAGACCAATGCAGCTCAGACCAGACCACTGACCTATCTCTAATTAGACTCCAAGACTGAACAGGAAGGGCCCTTAGGAATGAAGTGATCTTGGCCTGATTTCCCAGGGGAGGGAGTCGAGGTGAGGGAAGGCCCATGGATCCTCAGACCTCCTCACCTTAGACCTCACATCCTCTAGAAGCCTCCCCAGGCCACTCAGCACCTTGCACATCCTCACGGCTCCCCAGGGGTCAGTGATCCTCTGGGACATTTGCTCACCGCCTGTCTCCCAGCAGACTTTATCTGGGTCTCGGCTGCAGCCCAGCACTGCACATGGTGGGGCTGATGTACAACACGTGCTCAGTTGACATCCCAGGGAACAAGTGAGATGGATGTCCACTGCCTGTCACTCAAGACAATTGGTTCTTGGAGCACTTATGTGTCAGGCACTGGGCCAGATGCTGAGGATACCGTTGTCAGGACCACACAGCTCTAGCCCTCCAGTAGCTTGGTCTGGCCCAGTGGTTCTCAAAGTATGGCCCCCAAACACCAGGCATGGTGATGCAGGCCTGTAGTCCCAGCTACCCAAGGAGACTGATGCAGGAGGATTGCTTGAGCTCAAGGCCAGCCTGGGCAACACAGTGAGTCCTCTATCTCAAATAAATAAAACATTTAATAAGTCGAAAGTATGGTCCCCAGACCAGCAGCATCAGCATCACCTGGGAGCTGGTTAGAAATGCAAATTTCCAGCCCCACCTGGACCTCATGACTCAGAAACCCTGAGGGTGGAGCCCCAGCCATCCCAGCTTTAGCAAGCCCTCCAGGAGAGACTGATGCAAACTCAAGCTTCAGCATCAATGGTTTAAGAAAGGTAGCAGGCAGGGCACAGCGGCTCACGTCTGTAATCCCAGCACTTTCGGAGGCCGAGGTGGGCAGATCACTTGAGGTCAGGAGTTCGAGACCAGCCTGGCGAACATGGCAAAACCCAGTCTCTGCTAAAAAATACAAAATTAGCCGGGTGTGGTGGCACATGCCTGTAATCCCAGCTACTCGGAAGGCTGAGGCAGGAGAATCGCTTGAATACGGGAGGTGGAGGCTGCAGTGAGCCGAGGTCGTGCCACTGCACCCCAGCCGGGGTGACAAAGTGAGACTCCGTCTCAAAAAGAAAAAAGAAAAGAGGCAAACACGAGTGAGCTGCAGCCCAAGACAGTTCAACGAATAAGTACAGGAGGGTCTCCCGTTCCTAGGGGTTAGGGAGGACTTCCCTGAGAAAGGTGCATTTGAATTGAGACGTTAAGGATGAGCAGAAGTTTCCCAGGACAGTATTTCCCAAAACTTGATGGCGAACAAGGAAATCAACCGGGGGAGGGGGCTTGTGACAAATGCAGGTGACTGGGTGCCTCCCCAGAAGATTCCCACTAGAGGTGGGAGAGTCCCAGGAATCTGTATTTGTTGAAGGGACTGCTTATCATCAGATCAACTTCACCGAGGAGGGACCAGGAGGGACCGGAGCAAGGTTACCCAAGCGGGGACCCGCAGGGGCAGAGGCCCGGAGGAGAGGCAGACCCGTCCCGCCCCTGCCCCCGTCGAGTGTCAAGACCCGGATCGAATCCGGCCTCGGCAACTTCCCGGCGGACAGCAGGGAAGAGGACGCCCGGTGAGGCTCGGGCATTACCTGGGACTAGGCAGGGCCGCCCGCGCGGCACCCGG